GATTCATACGTAACAAACCACAGAAACCGTTTCTGCAGCGAACAGTCAGGCTTTTTCTCACATCAGTCTTCTTCAGAATCAGTTTCTGGATGTCTTCAAATATGTGTGTGTGTTTTATTGTTCTTATACCTGTGTTTTTGTGTCGTGTAGTGTTTTTTGTCTGTTGTGTTCTCGGGGTGTGTGGGTGTGGCGAGAGATCTGTGCACAACTTTTATATATATATGTAGCTTTGATACACAGAAATGAGTTTTGGTGGTTGAATCAGTGACCAGGAGGAACTCTAAAGGGACGATTTTTATATGCAGACTTGAGCCCAGAGATCCTGTCGTCTCCCAGGAAGTTAAGAAAAAGAAAGTACGAAACAGTCACTCATCTGGCTGCTGAAGTTTAGGTGTCAGGACATGTTGTACCAGAAATACTGAAGAGGTTTGTGAGGACAGTCGAGCATCACAAACACAAACATTCTGTGTGTTTGCAGCTAAACGCTGAGGGCTGTTTTCACGTGCGTAGGGCAGTAATGTTCTTCTGATTCAGATGTAAAGTAAGCAGAAAATATTCCCCGAACACAATCTTTCTGTGTATTTTCAGCTCAAGAATCAGCCCTTTACATCTCGACTTTGAACTGTCTTACTGCGAGTCGGAGCCGGCGCTCTGTTCTTTTGTTTTGCAGCTTCGCCAAGTTGTTCAAAAAATACTGCTCAGACTTTGCTATTTTTTCTTTCAACGTTCGAAAGCGAGGAGATTTGAAAGAGTGGGTGTAGCTCGGCAACACCGAACGCCACGTCGCTGTCTGGAGAAAGCACTAATGGATTTGCCGTCTCAACAACAAACTGTTGGGAGATTACACAAGCTTAAACTTATAAGAAACGGAACAGATGTTGAGCAAGAAAAACCTGTCTCGTCGTTCGCTTGGGATTAAAACCTACTGTACAAACACTTCTTCAGCAGCATCCCGCTCCGTTATGAAGGCACAGCGTTTTGCAAATGGATTTCTGGCTTGATGTCGGTGTGTGATGTTCAAAGCACATGCGAGACATACAACCAAAACATTTGCTTTAAGTAGCCCCCAAAGGCATCTTTTGTTTTGAGAAAATATGAAATAGAGAAAGTTGTGGTGGATCAAGGCACTGCACTGCATCAAGAAGTGATTTTAAAATTAAATCTCTTCGCTGTTCGTAGCCCCGGGCGCCGAGATGAGGCAACAACCTGATGTTTAATACAACGGAGGAGAGCTTCGTACCAGGACAGTAGAGGATGACTGATCGCTGCTTAATATCTAACAGCCTCTTTTCTCTCTCTTTTTCCTCCACTTCATTGCTTTCCTGTCTGCTCTTTTTTTCTTTATTCTTTCCCAGCATTTCAATTGGAATCAGTTATGTCTTAGCTGGCAGTGAGGCCTACGCTGCGCTTCTTAATATCAGGTGAGTCTTACACACACAACATACCTGCAATAAATAATACAAATGTGAGATTTACTCCTGCTGCTACACCACAGAGTTAAACTGCAGCTTTTCTTCCTCACGATGCTGAGCGACTTCAAGTTACAAACCTAAACCCACGATCAGACCATCGAATCTGAATCCTTTCACGTCTCTAACCAGGTTCAACATTTGTGAACTAATTTACATTTTTTATTATGTTATGAACTAAAGTTTAACATTCAAACACGTGACACGAATGTTCCAAATCATGTACAGCTGTGACTCGATAACCCGACACTAAATGTAAAACCTTCTTCTATGTCGGATAGCAAGGCTGTCGGATTGTCAAGACGGAGGTCCAGATACGAGGAGGGCTTGATGCTGGAAGACTCATTAGTTGTTCATTATTGTTCATAGTTGTTATAATAACTAGTGTGTTGTTAGAACACTACGCATCACTGGATTTCAGCCTAACTGACCGGTGTGATTGTGCACGTTCCGGCCACTTCCACCCCGGGGCAGCGCTCTGACGGGGTGGAAGTGTCCAGAACACACAGGCAGTACTTGGCTGCTGATGCTAGTTTAGTTAGCGCTCACACTTCTGTTTCCTCCATCGGTGGCGGCGGGGGAGTG